CACTTGTGTACACGCCACGAGGGTGGTTATTTCAGTTTAATTCTCCCTAAATTGAAGTGTTGCTTTTAAAAACACATTGCTTCAATTTAGGGAGGTTTAAATTGAACTAAACCTCTGTGGCATGTACAAGTAGCCAATGTTCCTAATATGGGAAGAATCTTCACTCTCTTCACATTGGAATATATAGACATTATTTTAGTGCCATGCTATCTATTGAATATAATAAGGTCTGTTCAACAGTAATTTACTGCGTGGTTAAAGCTTGTCCTCAGATGACCAAATTTGAGAGGAAGGGGTACAGGCTATTAGGTCTAGGTACAGACAGTAAAAAAAGCCCAAGACTAAATCAATTTAGCCTTTGCAGGTTAGTCTAAAGTGCACAGATTAAATTGGAAGAGAAGTGAACAGTACAGGTGTGAGAAGCAGGCCCTATTCAATTCAGATTCAGCCTGAATCAGGCATCATGATTTGATTCATTGATTCAGATCACTGTCTCTGATTTGATTCAGCTGAATCCGAATCTGAAGATTCGATGCTGATTCAAAGAATCAGCGATTCAGACATAAACGCAGTTTTAAATGTTTTTTCTACATAGCTCAAGGTACCAGCGTGGCTCATGATCGCTGCAATGCTGGGGCACATGGACCATACCACAGGAGTGCAGGGGGGTCCTCCACATGCTCAGCGGCAAACCCAGGTGTGGAACAGAAGTACTTCCTGTCCACTTCTGGGTCCAATGAGGAGCATGCAGACCCCCCCCCCCCCCGAGCCACGCACCCCCCCCCCCCCCATGCACCCCTGTGGCTCAGTGATCGGCTGTAGGGGGATCCCGGGTGCCCCCCAGATCCAGGAGGGACCAGTGCTTCTGATCTACTTCCAGGCCTGCTGTCAAGACACTGCATACACCCCAGCATTGCTGCATTCATGAGCCTCCTGGAAGGTGGCCTGGGTCACCGGAACACCTCCAGCTTCTGCTGGACAATAGGCAGCCACCAGTACTAGCTGGCCACACGGACCCAGAGGCAGCACAGCTGGAGGCCCAGGAGGGCATGGATGGCCCTGGCAGTGGCATCCAGGAGCATGCTGTCGGCATCCCTGCTGAAGCTGACAAGCGGGACCAAGTCTGGGTGGTAGCTGCTCAGTGGTGGGGAGCCTGGGATGGTGCAGTGAGGCTGGCCAGGCAGTTGCTGCGCATGGGGGAGCCAGCAGGACCAAGACTGCCCTGGGCCAGACAGTGGTTATTGTGGTGGGCCAGCAGGGCCAGCACTGGCAACCAGGAGCCCAGGGCATTGGATGTCACTGGGAGGGGCAGATGCTGGAGCAGCTATGGTGCAGGAAGGCAGAGGCTGCAGTGATGGAGCTGTTGCTGCAGTGATGGAGCTGTTGCATGTTGCTTCCACACTGTGCACACTACTTCTGGCCAGAAAAGCAGCTGGTCAGGGAGCAGGGACTGGGGCTGCCTTTTGAAGATGGCTGCTGACTGCAGGCAGGAGCAGCCAGAGCATCCAGTTCCCCCTCTGTGGTGGAAGGGGCCCACTGCAGGGCCACAGGAAGCAGGAGCAGTTTACTGCTAGGAGCAGCAGATCTGCTCCCACTTCTCTGCATGTGTAGATTTGTGCCCTGGAACATTTACTCTGGAGTACTTTACTCAAGAGTGAACTGTTCCTGGAACAAATGCATGTGTAGACATGCCCTCTATAACCTGCAGGAATTCAA